AACAGGAAAACAGCTGATCAAAAACAGCTGGTTGGTAATTATTCGTTTAATCAATGAACTGCGTGAGCATACCACTTTGGGATGAGTTTTCGTACATTTTCAATTTTACACTTTTGAATGTAAACAAAATTCCTATCAGCAGTTCGCATAACTTGCAAATTTTCTGTTTGCATAGTAATCTGCATATTTTTCTCTTATGAGAGAATAGGTGACATTTCGCTGGAATTTTTCTGTTGTATATTTTTAATGGAGATTTTAAACGAACGTACCTATTTTCATGCGAAGGCCACATTTCAACTGAAAATAAAGAGGGGACTGAGTACAGGCCATTACTGCGAGCGGTATTCGCTTCTTTGAGAATCCCTTTAGCCAACTTCATTTCCCTTATGAATAGAAACTAAGCAATTGTTTTTCTCTTAAAATTTCACACCTTTCGCTTTCTGCATTCAATTTAAGTAAAGGTCTGAAATTTCCAGAAAAAGCAATTGCTTAGTTTTTATACATAAGGCCGAATGATGAAAAAGACTTGCTTGTAAATTTTTTTTTGTGTTTTGACCGCACTATTGGCTTGCGACCGCACTGTGTGCCCTGAAATCTTGAACTGAGTTCTATTAATTTTAAGTATTCACTTAGATATTTTATATCTAGATTCTTAATTATTTTCATGACCGAAAACTTTTCACAGCAGCACTGCAATTCCAAAAAAACCATTGGATTAAAATACACTCCGCACAATTTCTACAATTTTCGAAGAATAAATTTACACTTGACTTTTTTACCTAAAATCGGCAGTTAACTGCCAAAAGCGGAACCGAAACGTGAATGAAAAAAACGGAGCAAATTCAAAACAAGCGGATAAGAATTTAACATTTTTCAAAAAGCGGAGTAAATCTACCCGGGTCGGTGTAAAGTCCGAACGCTGAACAGCACTGACAGCACCCGTACTTTCGCCTACATTTCTGCAAATCAGTCCGTTTTCATTGCTCTCCTGCCATTTTTCTAAAAAAACGCGGAGTAAATATATGTTTTTTAATAATTTGTTTTTGTTATTTATGGCCTTATAACAGTTTTATTTAACGTAAGGCCATTTTTAATGAAAACTATTGTGGAAAAACAACAACAATTTATAAACGGTAGAAGTAATAGCTGCTATTTTGGAGATCACCACATCTCTTCATCAGACTTATTCACTGGGACTCGATCCAACGACCCCAGTTTACGGGATTCCGATAAATAACTAACTTTAAATTAGCTATGACAAAACTAGACAGATGTTATCGAAAGTTGGTTTTCTTTACAATTTCCCCTCTTTTTCTGCACTTCGCGGATTCTTTTTCGAATTCAGGTCAAATAAAATAAAGATCGACATTTTACATTAGATATTATTTTGATGTTATGTCTGATGGAATTCAAGTGTGAAACCACCTGCAAAAGGACATGTAAACATTTATTGCAAGTAAGCAAATAGGTAGTGTTTCATAAAATAAATAAATATAAAATTAATAGATATAAAATAATAAAAAAAAATAGAAAATATTTTTTTATCAAATAGTTTTGTCCAAAAGTAGATAAAACTCAGTTGACATCAAATATAGAGGAAACCAGTGATCACTATTTTGCGGCCATCGCCCGTCAAAAGTAGTTAGTTACGGCCAAAGGAAATAGTTAGTTAATACTTAGCTACAAACTAGTCCCATTTCCTGCAGGGTGCATACACAAAGTCATACATACATACATATGCATGTGCTTGTGTAAATATGTGCGCAAAAAATGTTACTAATGCGTAGCGTACACAAAGAATTAAACACAACCAACAAGTTCATAAATCTCTGCAGCTGACTACCATTGTAACGGGTAGTTAATAGTAACAGCAAATGTACAAGCCAATTATTTGCAACTATAACATTCTATTGCGCCTGCCATCAAACACACGACCACCTATTAACTTCCCAGCGGGAAAATGTAATGTTTGGATAAGTATAATGAGCTCATACATACATACATACAAATGTATTATTGTATTTACCATTCAAACCCACTGAATACTTGCTTTGTGTATTCAATTAAACGAATTTCATGGTCTAATAACATTTATTCTTACATATTTTTTGCTGGCAGGCTGGTGGTTTTTTTTCCATACTTATTTTTTTAAAACACATTACCCTTTTGCTTACCTGGAAATATATTAATTCGGTAGTCGCAAAATTATTTGGCATCAAACTTTTTACTGCACACTATCCCTTTCCTTACGTTGGGAATGACAATCTAATAGCAGAGAATTTCTCTCCAGTATCATAAAGCTCACAATCAAGTAATCAATGTTCCTACTGGGTAAAAAAATTTATACTCGTACAATGAACTGTATTGGCAGACCAGAAAATTTCACTACCAGCACGAAACAAGTGATTTTTTCGGTTACACGAAATATGTGGTGTACAAAATTTGGGCTCAATCCGGTAAGGCAACGCATGCCATACTCCGCTTTAATTTAATAACCAATTGCAAAATCTACCTGAGTAGATTATTGACTTAAATCAGTATCGTTTTGTTACAAATGTTCTATGAAATTCACAGACTACTTTTCGAAGAAATACTAAGAATCGAAGCAGAGCACAAAGTTTTTCAGAACTCAATTTAACTTATGAACCGTTTAACTGAATAAGGCGCACTAAAATCCGGAAAAACGCTGAACACCTAAAACACTTGGCAATGAGTTCTACTCTAAGGAAAGGATAGTAAATAGGCATTACTCTAGGTGTCTAGTGTTGCTTAATATGCATAATGCAAGTAACGCACCAGCAATTTCGAAGAACATACTTCTCAACAAAGTTAAATTGAGACTGATGCAATAAGGACTAAAAATTTAACATAAGTAAATACACTCGGTTTGACCACAAAGCAATGCTGCAGGTGGATAATCTCATATTTGATTTTTAATCGCACAGCCGACCAAGTGGAAATCATTGCAATAAAATCTTCGCTTGTTTTGCGTTTAAATTAATTTTTATTAGCTTACCATACTGAGCCGAGCTGAAACCACCACAGCATAGCAAATAAAATTTCTTACTTACTCGCACTTGTATATGTACATTAGGGTGGTCCAAAACAAGTTAAGTCGAAATTTTAATGCTCTCACCCCCTGGGATTGTTCTATATCGAAAAAGGTATACCCTATGTTTTTTCCATGTATTTTGTATAGGAACAAGAAAACTTTTCGTGGAATTGGTATGGAATTCTACTCTGGTTCTCTTCAGGAGACTTCCTATAACAATACCCAATGGTTTCTTTAACAATTTCTTAATACTAAAGATTTTTTATTTATCCCTCCATTGCATTTCCTGGCATTTCCTAGGCGGGAAAAAATTGTTAAAAAATAATTGGGTATTATTACCGGAAATCTCCTGAAGAGGAACGGAGTCTTCACGTCGAAAAATATAGATTTTCAAGAATTCTATACAATTTCTTTGAAAAGTTGTTTTCCCCATATAAAAAATATGGGTATATTTTTTCGATATAGAATATTCTTAGGGGGCGAGAGCATAAAAATTGCGACTTTACTTTTTTTACATGCACTTTTGGTCCACCCTAATGTACATAGATATGTATGTACAATGCACATCTTTGTGTGTTTGGTCAAGTGAATTTATGAACTCGTTTTGTGCTGGTAAATTATAAGGCTGTTAGTGAAACCAAGTACTTGCTTTTGTTATTTAATTACACTCATATACATATGTACATATTAGGGCGTGTCAATTTGTATGGGAGATTTTCTCGACTATAGGCGTATAGCATAGGAGGATGCTACGTGTATTTCTAAGCAAATTTGCAAAAGAAACTATGGGTCTAAAATCAATTTGGAGTTTGCCAAATTGCGAAAATAGTTTTCTTTTTTTGCTGCAGTATCGTAAACACATGAATCCAACTCGGAATAACTTTGGCCCAATTATTCAAGTTTTTCTTAAACGAATCTTTGAAAAAAGTAAAAAAAAAACAGCATCCAATATCTCACTGTTACGATTCCGTTTATAAGACTTTTAAATATTTTTATGAAAATTTTTTAAGCTTAAACTGGTTTGTCATCTGAGGTGATTTTTTTTTTTCAAAAATTCCTTGAAGAAGCACAAAAAACTAAATTTTTGGAGGCATTTTCAAATTGTTCCAGCTCAAGTAAATCATAATATTTTTCCGAAATATTTTGGTGGACGTCTTCAAACACAATCGCAGCTTTTTTTGTGATACAGTCTAACGTACATACATACCTACATATGAATTTTAGTTGTATGTAAAAAAATATTCTAGGATAAGTAAAATAAAGGTTTTCTTTTTTATTTTAGCACGTAAGAAAATGTGAAAATTTTCACTGTTGCGCCCACTGGCTGATGTTTTAGCAAAAAGAAAAGTTCAGAAATAGATTCCTCATACCAAAAAAAAATATTTAAGCACTTCTTTACGGCACTACAGCAAAATGCTAATTAAAAGAAACCTACTTTCGCAATTTGGCAATCTCCAAATTGATTTAGGACTAATAGTTTCTTCAGCAAATTTGCTTAGAATTATACGTAGAATCAACCTATGCTATACGCGCATGGTCAAAAAAAAATGTACATGCCCTAATACATATGATATTCATTTTAAAACACTAAAGTGAGAAGAGGAGGGTGTGTAATTAATTTCTTTGTGAATTAAACATAGATTTTCAACAATGAATTTAACAGCCACTTTTACAAACACAATTTATATGAAAAATAATCCTTTAAAATTTTAAGTTTTAATTTTTTGTTCGTTGAATGCGTTTGAAACTTAATCAAAATTGCATAAATATATACCTAGTTAGTTTAAGTGGGAAGTTGATCTCAATTTCTTAAAAAAACTTTTCATCACTAATACCACCTACATATACATACATACATATATATGCAAAAATATGCAAACGCTAAAAAGTTATAATAAGTTCTCTCCAAATACCTGTTCTCATTTCACCTTATCCAACTTTTTTTCAGACATACACATGAATCAGGCGCTCTACCTCTCAAACCTCTCCGTCCCGCGAATAATCGATGCCGCACAAAGAGCCAAATTATTTTGCAGTTATGAAATGGGTAATCGCACACTCAATTCAGTTAAATGGTACAAAGACGGACAAGAGTTTTTCAGGTAAGTACAAGCTGTAAAAAAAAGTAGGAAGGAACAATTAAACACACCATTTTTTCTATTAAAGACTATTCAAAGTATTATAATTGCCGTTATAAAAATTTGAATATTGTCGCAATTAAATCACCACTGCCAATTATTGTAAAGCACTTAAACACAAAAAAAAAAAACAATAAATATTTTAGCTCGACTTTATCAACCTCCATTTAGAGATTTTTGCCGCCATTGCATTTTTCACCAGTGCAACACATAGTTAGTATTTTATGCGCTTTATGAACGATGAAATTGAAAATGACATAAAATGTAACATTCTGCTGTCGCCAGTTGCCAGTAGCCAGTAATGCACATATATACAAACATTCAATTACCCTGTCGGTAAACCGATTGCCCTAAAGTAAGCTTCTTTAAATGGATTTCAAATGGTGGTGTCTATAATTTTTTATATTCTACATTTATACATAGTTATAATGGAATTTTTCAACTTTTCTTCTGAGATTTCGATATTTAATACGATACCAAAATATTTTCGTTTTAGCACTATAATTTTTGCAATTTTAAAGAAAGTAGTAAAACAAAGGAATCAGCAGAAAAAATTGTTAAGGTCCTTGATAGCGCTTCTGGCAAACTATTTCCAATTGTAAGTATATATACGTGGAAGTCAAACCCTATGATGATCTTCATGGAATATTTTGAAAATACAAGTACAATACAAGTTCGTATTTATGGCTTCACTAAAAACCGTATACAAAAATAGTGCTGAGAATTTCCACAAATCTCGAAATAGTCCCAAAAAACTCAGAAAATATCAAAATAATCCAAATAGTTCCCGAATAATCTCAAGAAAGCTCTCTAACAAGTCCCGAAGGACAACGAAAAATATAACACAAAGAATCACGAAAACGAAAAAAGCAAAAAGCTTCCAAAAAATTACAAAATTTCTTAAAAAAATCCCGAAATCGCCAAAAAAAAACGTAAAAGTTTTTTAAAAAAAATCTCCAAAAACGAAATATAAAATAGCGTTTGTTCATACATTGCCATTGCCTTAAAAATTAAAAGCCAAACTTTTTAGAAATCTAAAAAATATCTTAGCATTTCATTATTTGTTTGTATACCCTTTCATTTGGTATCTGATTTTGTTAGCCAACGAATGGCGAAAATCTTATCATTTTTAAACAGGTGGCAGCCCTACTAAAGAAATAATACATTATTGCACTGTTAGAGGCTTAGGGCCAGTTTTTCGGTGCCACTTTAAACTCAGATTAAGTAAACTGAGTTTAAATTGAATAGCTGGCTGACATCTAAATGGCTGATCTTAGTTTAAACCAGCCAGATCGGGCGTTTAAACTGAGTTTAAACTACGGCCGCACATTAATATTTTGTGCCACGGTTGCATCTAATGCACCTACTATTTAATAATTTTTTTTTTTCCTACAGACCCTGAACACAATTACACTCACAAGTCCACAAATGCCAAACTTCCAACTACTCACGCTCCTAGTGGTTACTACCACCTCTGCTCACCCTGTTTTCGCCGCACCAATGCACTTTGGTTAAAGTCAGTGCGGCGGCATCGCACAACTCATTTGAATGTGTAATTGAAATTGGCGCAGATTGGCTGCGAGCGGCGAGTTGTACAAGTTGCACAAGTGTAGATAGTAAGTGGGGATTCGGGAGCCGCCGCTTGAAACACACTGTAATTTTACGTGCCATCGAATATGCATTCGCAACACACACATTTGTCGACCAACCAACTGTGCTGGCCAGCCTTTTTCTGCCAATTTTAACCGCGTCTGTGTCGCTGACTATTTTGCATTTGGCGATGTTTATTGGCCTTGGCAGCTGCAACGTTTAATTGATGGAAAATTTGCTGCCGCTTTTAATTGGCTGAAAACATACAAAAGTTTTTTCGCTTCACTTTTTCACTTTTTTTTTTTTTTTTTGATTATTTTCTGTGTGCTGGTACTTACAACACAAAATCGCGGCACGGTTTTATTTGACATAATTTTTAACAATTTGGCGTGTAAATATTTATTTTTTCGACAATTTTCTGTTATTATAATGTGGAGCGACCAAGCGATTAAGCACAGAAGTATGTTAGTTGCTAACATGCAGCAAAAATATTTGCTTTTGCCAGTGGTTTGTATGTATGTATGTGTGTTTTCGATTACATACTAAGGTATGTATGTACGATTTTTTTTTTTCAAACATGTTTTTCAATACAAAAATCGGCGTACTTTAATTAAGCTAATTAAAAGCTTTCCATGACATTCAGTTCAAAGTAATTTGCTTAACCCAATTAATGATCAATAGGTTTTTCATATCTCAGATGTAAGCCAAAAAGGGTTCGTTTATAAACACTAATACCAACTACAAACAAATTTATTTGAACACTATTTAAGGCTTAATCAATTACACGTACTACAAATTACTCAGATATATTATATTTTCAATGAGTCGTCAGTTGAGCCATTGAATTTGTTTACGTGGAAACGAACTTAATGCCTATTTTTTAAGTAAGTAAGGCTTTTTTTCAAGGACTAAATTTGTCATCGACAATTTTTGTCATTTAGGAAAGTCAATTCCTGTAACTGAGAGTGCTTACTGCACATTTCTTCTAATTGCTCATCAACTTGAAGTTAAGTTTTCATTCTGGTCGAAGGTCTGGTTCTGAGCATTTGAAAAGAAATCAGCCTCCGAACCGAACCAAGTTTGCATTATAAACCCTCTCTGAATTCAGTATTGCACGCCAAACTATTTGTGTACACAAATAAATACAAACATTCGACCTCAAATCTCCGTTAATCTTCCGGCTGTGTATTGAGTTTACTGGAATAATCTGTGCTTGAGGTAGAAATTTACGCTACTTATTTTCCAATGGAAACTAAGAAATATTTACAACTTTTGTGCTGTGTTTCGTACGGAATTAAAGAAGACTTTTGGGAGGGCGTGTCAACTAAAATTTCGGAAACGTAGAGGGAAACCACCCCGATGGTTTAGATTAGAAGAGCGAAGAGGAAGTCATGAAAAACCTTCAGCGAAAGCGAGGAAGGTTGCCATGAATCAGTCAGATTTATACGAATACTCGCGAGGAATCTCGTGAGTAGCCGCTAAGCTTCTCCTGAGTGCTTATTTTCCTTGCAACCCTTCCTCAAGAGATATTTCCGTTATGGCATCGCTGGGGGCAGGAGGTCTTTAGAACTGTACTCCTATTTATTCGAAATGTGTGAGGCCCGGGAACATCCCCAAAGCTTGAAGGGTAGTCAGGGTTTCGTTCATTTCGAAGTCTGGTAAGGGCTCTCATGTTTCCCCTAAGTATTTTAGGCCTATCAGTTTGTCTTCGGTTTTGCTAAAAACGCTGGATAAACCTGCACATAAGAAACTGGATTCCTCGTGCCTGTCTTTTTAAAGCTCAACTTGCATATTGCAAGGGAAGGTTGGTGGACACCACCCTTCACACATTAGTGAAGTGGATCGAGGAAGCCTTCCTCTACATAGGTGGGCGAGTACCTGCTCTCAGCGTAGATTCAATGGGGACACTCCGCTAAAACCTTTTCTCTCTTCCCTGCTCTAGGTTTTGGTTTGGAATGACCTTCCAGAGGAGCTGGAAAAATTGGGCTGTCGGATGATCGCCTATGCAAATGATGTGGCACATTTGGTTAAGGCACGATTTTTCGAAACCCTTTTTGATCTAACTCAAGGTTACCTAAACCAGGTACCAGGAGACCTCGCAGTAAGCCCCAGCAAGATGGAACTTGTCTTGTACAAGGTACCCGTTTTGGCCCTCTCCTCAATCGGGGGAAATAGCCACCATGCAAAACTGGGAATATAGGTTTTTGAGCTACTTTAAACTTGTCTAATATCATACTAAAATTTAATGAACTTTAGGTCTGCATATCCAATCTTTTTTTCCATATAGAGAAGTAGCGTCCCTAATGGTGTAGTCACTACTGTATATATGTAAAGCATAGCATAGCATCGGTAAATAATTTCAAATTAAACCTTTTGCACATGTCGTGTGACTACTAACGAAAATTTGCTTCGCGATAAATAAAATAGTGTTATTCAAAGTCTCACAGAAAGAAATACGAAGGCGATAAATCGCAAGTTCTTGATCACACCAATGAATCACCAGGCTAGACGTCCGGTAATTTTCCGCGTAAAAGAGTCGCAGCTCTCTGGTGTGTGTGGTACCCCGTCATGTTGAAACATTTCGTGCAGATGTAAATTTCAAATTTTATGCAGAAAAAATCGGCAGATTTGGCTCATCGCTGACACTTTCCTTCACAGCAGCTATTGGTCGTATTGGTTATTATTTTGTTGGGTGCAATATTACTTTGACCACAAATCAAATCACGAAATGGCTAACCATTAACTAGACAATTAACTACATACATATGTAGATATGTATAGTGAAGCAAATGAATGAAATTTTATCATTTTGCGCATATTTCTTTGTAAAAAGCGGCCATAAAAATGGCTTTAAAAACAATTTAACGTTTTTTCTTCTCTTTTTACTGAGAATCTCAAATAAATCCTCTTGAAAAAAAATATTTAATCTCCAATTGTATTTAATATTTCAGCAGCACCGTAGCTAATCTCAAATAGTCGAAATCTAAGCGCACATTTTTTCATCACAATCAGGTCATCAGCAAGCAGCCACAGTCAAAAGAGCTCGCAATAAAATCAACCATAGAAACAACATTGCACATGTATTGTAAAATTTCCATTCTCTAACAGTTGCCGACTTTGAATAGGCCAATTAAATAGCTTTATCGAATGACACATTCAAGCACCATACAATATATCTATCTATATGTGTGTATGTGAAAATTTACGCTAGATATCACACACCGTAGGGAAATTCACTGGTTCTCAATCATTCTCAATCCCATCACTTTTGGTAAGAGGTTCATGATTTTTAAAGTTCATAAAATATTTTCCACTCACAGCAAATATAAATTTGCCTTTGGGCTTTAAATTGCAATAAAGAAATAAAAACCATGAACCTATTTCAAGAACTCTAAAATTCATAGAAATATGAATAACTAGTAAGCCCGCACGGCGTTAAAACGCCCAAGTTGGAATTTCAAAAACCTTTAAAATCTTCCAAATATAAACAAGGTATAAGCGATTCGAGTATAATATTTCTTCTAAATTTCCAAGGTCATTATTTTTCAGATTATACAATTTATTTTCGAGCAAACTTCTACAAAGTTTAATTTGAATTCGAAGCGAATTCGGTTTAAATTCACTCGAAAGTGAATTGCGAAAACTACCTGAAAGCCTTTTTTAAACCCATTTCGACTGATATCGAGCCTTTAAAAATTAAATTAACTTATTAATAAATTTGAATGCAACTTATAGAATACGTGGCAAGCCTCCTGAATATATTTCAGAAATAAAGCCTTTTCAACCCCAATACGACAGACACGCATACTTTAAAATAATTAGTTTGACTTTTTAAATGATTTGAATATTTGAACACTCCTAAAACACCCAAACGATATATATAGTGTTCAAGCTAAAGATTTCTTAATAAATTATAAAACACATATTTGAACTAGGTAATTGCCCTAATTTAAGTTGAGTCGGATTTTTTTAAAACAGGTGGCAACCCTCCTAAATATATTTCAGAAATAAAGCTTTTTCAAAATCATTTCGATGATGCCCAGTTTTTAATAATTCATCCAACCTCTTAAAAAATTTGAATGTCACTTTATTTGCACGTGGCAACCCTTTTCAAACATTCTAAATGTCCAAACTCAAGTTTTTTTAACACCCTTTCGCTTCATATTTCAAATAACTTGCGTAAAAGTTAATTAAATTTGACTTTTTAAGCAGGTGGCATCCCTCTTCAAAAGTAGTTTCGCACTAAGATATTTTATTTTTTATACATGTGGCAACCCCGCTAAATATAGTTCAGAAGTAAAGATTTTTAAAAATTTTTGAAAATGTTTAATAGTTTTTCCATCAAGGTAGCTACATACATACGTATTTACTTTGCACATACACATGCATATGTGCACAAAAATGAGCTCGTTTGGTACATACATATATGTATATGTGACACTTTGTTAGGTTTTATGTAAATTTATCTGCGGCAAACTAAGCCAAAAATCAATTTCAATTAAAGTACGCCATTTTTGCATTTCACTATTTTTGCAATTGTCAACACCAAATCGCTAAAGAGGCTAAATAAAAGTGAGCCACAATCGCAAAGTCGCTAAAACCATGACCACAGCTATAAATAGCCTACAGTTAGCAAGTAGAAAAAAATAAAATAAGATTAAGCCAAAATTTCAAAACAGCGAGTGTAATGCTAATAAAAAAAAAATTTTATGAGATCAACTCGAGCTCTTTTTCATTAAAAAAGAAAAACAAGTTCAAAATTATGATTGATTCAAAAAATTATTTTAAAAAATTCAGTGCAATATAGATTAACAATATGGATACCAGATGAAAGAAAAAAACCCTAGAATTTAAAAAATTCAGTTTTTTAGTACACAAAGACGGATTGGTATAGGAAATTCTCTTTAATTTAATTAAATATATTTTTTTAAGCTAATAAACTTAAAAGGATGAAATTCTAGGGCGTGGTCGCGTGCTTATGAGCTCTTAATATATAATTTTATCAAAAATAGATTTTCATTGATATTCAAGAAAAAGTTCTAAAATGACGTTTCCAATATCTATTCGTCCTGATTACTCAAACATACCAAACCAATAGAAATTAAGAGCGACAGCAACGATATAAAAAAAAACTAAAAATATATCGAACATGATAACATTTGTAGCAAATAATGGTAACGATAACAAACGGGATACCAGTGCTAAAGGATCCACCGATAATGCACGAATATGCCAAAATCTATATCTATGTATTTCGATAAGAATTTCGAATCCTAACCGAAACTTTGATATCTAGTAGTAGTACTGAGCATAACTCATACATCCACTTCGTTATTCAAAAGTATTTAGTGATTGGCAAAACCCTTTTACATATCTTACTATTCTGTGGCAACTATGCAAATTCGGTAACGCCAAAAATTGCCACAGTGCCCTCCAGCCAAAGTGCCGACTAACCGCTGTTTATTCGCCTATTTCAAATTGTAATCGATTACATTTCCAATTCAAAATGCAGTATTCCATTTTATGCACATAAAATATTTGCATATTTTCACAACCGATCGAACATGAATTTGTGAGGCCATCATGCACCCTTTCGAGTAGGCAACAAATTTTCCGTGATACCTTCAATACAAATGCATTTTTTCAAAAGCTTAGCTTTTTGCAACGGCTGTTGCATTTTCAAACTCATTCTTTTATGCATAAATGCGAACGATTTTTTACTTCTATATACAATTTCCCCCTTTCGAATGCAAATTTTCGTGTGCATTTATTCATCATCATCATCATCATCAGCAACAGCAAGAGCAATGTGAGAGCGATGCGATGCTAAGGGAGGCCGGCAAAATGTACTCGTATTTATGTGAAAGGGTGGTGATGTTGAAGTGGCATCAATTTTGGTGCTGCTGAATGTCCAATTTTCACAGTTTTTCACCTTTGGTTTTGGTCAAGCGACCGGTGTAATTATATACATACATATCCACATGCATATATACAAATGTACATTAATCATGCAGGCAATCAGTCATTCACTTGCTCTCCGACTGGTTCAGTCGCTTTTTCGCATACCTCTGGTTATACTAAAATTTGTCAAACGCGTACATACATACATATATACATATATATATCTGGTCAGTTAGTCTCTCATTTCTTCTCCCTTCAAATTGTCTACGAATTTCCTGACATTCTTTTTTCTTCACTTACTACAGATACTCACCGTTGACTCCGCCGACTACAAATTGGTTTCCCGTCAAAGGTGTCACCATAGCTGATGGCTCATCGCACTGCAATCAATTCATCTGCAATGTCGAACTGGAGAAACTCAATGTCCATTCGTCCGGTTCATATCGTTGCGAGGTATCCGGTGATGCGCCCGAATTTAAATTGATCGATAAAACAGCCAATATGACAGTGGGTGGTGAGTAGACTTACAATACTTACATACTATATTAAAACCAAAATAGAAAAAAAAAACATAAGTTTCCTAGGATATTATTTACTACATGCGCGTATAATTTCAAGAAAGTGCCATTTTTGTTGTTTAAATAAAATGAAACGTAAATTATGTAACAACTTTTTGACTAATGAAATTTATATGACATAAAACTCATTTAAAAGAACACACACACACTGGAAATAAAATCTGCGTAAATATAACGAAAACTTGCGTAAATCTTACGAAATTTTTCGTCATTTTGAGCCACGAAAGTTTTCGTTGATTGTACAAAAATGTTTTCGTATATACTACGAAAATTTGAGGCATCACAATTTTTAGTACATTTTACGAATATATTCGTACTATTTACTAACGAGTTTCGTACTATTCACTAAAAAAAATCGTACTATTTCTTTATTTTTTTACGAAATTTTTGAAAAATGCATAGAAATAATTCGTATATTTAACGAAATTACATTCGTAAAATCTGCGCTTCTTTCGTATAATGTGCGATTTTGCTTTCACTCTTCGCACTGTAAAAAAACATATTACGAATTATAACAGAACACTTTTATTTTGTTTTTATCGTTAATTTTAGGCGTTTTTGTTCAACAAAACGTTTTGCAAAAACCCTTTTAAATCCCCCTTGTCTGACGTCCATATTGTGATACATATTCCAATTATCAAATTCCTTTAATTCAAGAAGAATTTGAGTTTTCAAACAAGTGGCAACGCTCCTACATGTAGTTTAGAACTAAAATTCTTATCAAGAACCTTTCCGCTAATACCCATATGAGATTAAATGAATTTAAATTTAGCTTGCTTATAATTAGTTTAAATTTGACTTTTCCAACAGGTGGCAACTGTTTCCAAAATACTTTCCAACTACAACTTTTTTAAGCCTCTTGTCACCGAATTTGATTTTTTCTAAAAGGTGGCAGCCTTCCTACATGAGTATGGAATTGATTTTGTATACATACATATACATATATACTATCTATACCAAGTTTCTGTACTCTATCAAAAATATTTCCGTTCCGTAAGTTCCGTTTTATGGGAGGTGCCACGCTCTCTCGTATGGTTTTAGGAAATTTTTTTCGTAAAAGAGGTGAATATACATACATACATAGTACACAAACAAATTAAGAGATAAATTACAATGTTCCAGACGCCAATAAAATTTACTCAACAACACTTTAAGCGACCACTTATACTCTCAACAAATTTGCCTAAGTACCATTCGTGTAAATCTCTTCTTTTTTTTCAAATTACCTATTAGCTTTAAGTATCCTGCTACTTGAGCGCTTTAATATGTTCATTTATAACAAATCGGGCATCGATTTCTGTAGGAACACAGAAAATCAACTCAAAGCAATCAATAAATATTTATGCGCGCGCGGCTGTCAGTGCTATGTACAAGTTTGTATGTACGTTTGTGTAGGTGCCCATTTAAGGGCAATTCTAAATTTATTACCAAATCAAAATACTTACGTACATATATACATACCATGAGAAACAGTGGAAAAAAAAGAAAAGAAATCATTCACAAGACACTAGAAGATGGCGCCAAATCAAATCAACCAACAGGAAAAACGCGTATTGACTTTAATTTATGATATTGGTTCGATTGTTGTTGTAATTGTTGCTATTATGTAAAAAAAGCGGCCACACAAATAAATCATTGATGTCACTAAGGGCATAAGGACACCAACATCAGCAGCAGCAGCAGCCATCAACGTACACCTACATACATACGTACGTACAGTTGAAGCCTCATAGAAAAGTGAATGGCGAATGGCAAAAAATATTTCTTTGAATTTTTCGGCATGAAAATAATGCGTTTAATCATTATTTCAAGACAAGCTACCCAAAGAATACTTAGAGCTGTTGGCAACTTAAATAGCACTTTTGAAATTTTTCTCGGAATCTTACAATAAATTCTAGATTGGGTGCATGTGGTGTGAATACAATCTAAGGAGGGTGACATGTCACCACAATGTTGAGCATTCAAATATGGTAGAAATTGTGATAATAAAACTAGCACAAGAGAAGTCTATGTAAATCGGTCGATTTTGAGAAAATCGTGTTGTCAAAGCAACCACAAATTTTTTTTTAAATATGTACATTAGACTGCATCACCAAAAAATGTTGCAGTTTTTCCGCCGGGATTACAAAATATGTTATATTTGAAGACATCCACTAAAATATTTCGAAAAAATATTAAGATTTACGTGAAGTGGACCGATCTAAAAATACCTCCAACATGGGAGTTTTTATTTAAAAATCTTTCAACAAGAGTGGGATAAGGCCTTTCTACTGATACCACACAAGTCTAAATTGGCATAGGTTAGGTTAAGTTATTCAAGTTTTGCTTATGCCAATCTCTGAAAAAAGTTGAAAAACAGCATCAAAAATCCCATTATTACGATTCCGTAGAAAATTTTTTACATTTTTTTTTTTAATATTTTTATGCAAATTTTTTAAGCCTGAACCATTTTCTCATTTGAGGGAATTTTTCCAAAAAAAAACTAAAAGAAAATATTTTTATTCATGAAAAACCCAATTTTTGGAAGTATTTTCAAATTGGTCCAGCTCACGTAAATCTTAATATTTTTTCCGAAATATTTTGTTGGAAGTCTTAAAATAAAATAGATTTTATAATTGCAATGGAAACACAGTATCTACCGATTTTTTTTTTATGGGCAGTGATGCAGTCTAATGTACGTAAATAAATGTAAAAGGTCGTAAATAACAAAGAATTTAAACACCACTTTTTGATTGGCTATGCTACCTTTTATTGATTTACAAGACCTCACATCGGTTTTAGAACATACATATATTAAAACATAGCGGTTTTATTTACGACAAAAGTTTTCCTTCTAAAATACACTAAATTTTTATAATGTTTCTAGCTCCTTCTGTAAAAAAAACTAAAAAAAAATGTTTTTTACGGCATTTAGCATTTAGGGTGACGATGCACAATTACTAGGCGACAGCGCACAATGGGACTAAAGCGGCCAAAAGTAGTACAAACGGATTAGCGAATTCTGAAAAAGCAATTACACAGATTTATAGCAAAATGTCCAACTAATCCAAAACGAAAAGAATTTTTGATAAAAATGTATATTTGCAGTAATGGGACGAGCTTGAAGTAGATACAATGCAAAATAATTAATTTGTATAAAAAAATAATGTTTTTTAATTTTACTACTTGTACGCATATATCTAAGGACTTTGATAATTCATGCTACTTATTAAATAATTTGAATATAATTTTTTAAATAGATGGCAACCCTCTTCCAACAATCGAAATGATCAAACTAAAATTTCTTTACATTTTTTCGTTCTTTTGCATACTCCCGTATTTTTATACTTCATATAATTTTTGTATTAGTTATTTAAATTAGACCTTTCAAACAGGTGGCAGCCCTCTTCAAAAGAATTTTCGAGCTGAACCCTTATAAACTCTTCTTCGTCTGGCATTGCGATAGATACTTTAATTAACTGATGAATTAAAGTGAATTCGATTTTTAAACATGTGGCAACCCCGCTAAATATAGTTGAGAAAAATTGTCTTTGTGTTCAAACTAAAGATTTCTTAATACTCTTTCGTTTGAGATCCATATTTTGATATTTCATATAACTTTTGCATAACTAAATGCGACATTTCCAGCAGGTGGCAACCCTTTTCAAAATATTTTCAAACTATTTCTTTCTGAAACCTCTATTCTTTGGCACCCATATGGTGATACATATTACTTACCTTACCTTATATGCTTTTTTAAACAGGTGGTAACTCTCCTCTAGTTCAACTGCTTTTGGTTGCAGCTTATATGGAGACATCGCACTGTGCAGCGCTTAGGTATGCGATTTCCTTAGCAATTCTCGGCAACTGCTTTTTGTTCACTTTCCATCACTTTCTCAGCGGCGCGTACGTGACATCGTAAGCACAGCATGTGATTCAGGAAATCCCAATTCAGATTATAAATTGATTCATACAAAAAGGCAATTGAGCCAAATTTTTTCTGGTTCACCTTCTCTTTCTTCTCACAGAATAGATATAACACGCAAATACTCAAAAGACCCTGCGCGCATTACTAACCCGCGACCAGGTAAATAAAAACTACAGGGAAACACAAAAAACTCAAACAAATTGCAAGGCTAAAAATTAGATTTCTCCGTACTTGTGCGGACTACTTTTAAACCATTTAAAAAAGGAGTCTAAGGGTACTTGAAAGCAATAAAGGTTTTACGAATTTTATACACATAATATACAATGTACTGCTTTCTTTTGAAACTTTTGTTAATTTGACATTCAGTTACTATTTAAACAGACAACAAAGTTCTGCTAAGAAAAGATAATAAATTTGTTTTTTTTTTTTTTGTAAGATCCAGAGCCAGTTTATTTCCATACGTGGTAACTATCTAAATTTATTACGCAACACTCAAAACGCCGCATGGCAACTAGCGAATTTATTGGGTGTCATTACTCATACAAATGGATGCTGCGTGCCGGCGTTTATTTTACAAAAATCTTTCTTTCTTTCTTTTTGGTCGAGCAGAGGTTGAACTCGATAGGGGAGCGCTTCCAAAAATGGCTCCAACTTCTTATTTAGTACGATTTTTTATACGTTCATACAAATGTGCACAAAAGCCGTTGGAGTTGTGCTTACCCAACTGTCAATGATAAATGATTACGCCTGCGGGATGCCACTTGTTCCGGCGCTGTCTTTTCAACTAACTTACCATTTATTAGATAGCAAATGGGATCATATGTACATACGTAGCTGACTTTCTGTTAAGTTTACTACACGAATGTCACTTGCCACCATTCAGTTATATACTACTTAATAAATACCTAGGTTTGTATGTGTGTATGTGTATGCATATTAAACTTTTTGGAAAAATCATTAGAAAATTAAGTGCGAAAAAATTACAAAATACTGCATTATGAAATAAATATTTTTTACAACAGATATACA